TGGATGTAATTAACGGTTTCAATTCAAGAAAGTCAAATTTAATTAAGTTTATAATGAAAATAATAAAAATAGTAATGCTTACCTGAACATCACGACAACGTAGATTGATGGTTAGTGAAAGAAGTGAGGGGCCAAGAGATTGAAATTTCTCGACGGTCGCGTTCTCGAATAACAAATTGAAGGTTTCAGCAGGCGGGTAATTCTTGGTCCATTGATTTTTCACGAAATAGATACGTCCATCCACATCCTCACCCATCTCCACATCCCAAAAATTCTTGTCTCGACAGTTTTTGGCGACAGCGAGTATTCTCTTGCTGGCAATCGAAGTTCTGAAGAAAGCTGTTGGATCCATCCATCGAAGGATACGATGTTGCACTTCGAATGGGAAGTCGAAGAAGCTGAGAGGCATCTGGAAATGCGAAATATAGTTGTGATAAGAGAGAGGCAGAGAAATAGAGAGAGAGAGAGAAATAGAGAGAAAGAGAGAGAGAGAGAGAGAGAGAGAGAGAGAGAGAGAGAGAGAGGAGGGCTACGATTTACATTACCACCCCCCCGCAGCCCGAGGGTCCCAAAGTTTTCGATATTTTCGTTATTTTTCCAGGATTTTTCTAGCGCGCTTCGATAGAGCATCCAAAAAAGATATACTACAAGTTTTTATGGCAGCTCAAAATTATATAATATAGAATAGTTATAGCAAAAACAAAAATAATCTCTAAAAATCTTGTTAACAAGCTAGTTTTCAATACTTTCTCGATTTTTTTAAACATTTTTCATAAGACATTCGACAGAGCATCAAAAATATACTTAGAATTTTCATTTCTGCGCAAAATAATGCAATATAAAAGAGTTACAGCAAAAACAAGCAAAACCCTAATAACTGCCCAAACACTATTTTAATTGTATAAATTTTAATATTTATTTTTCGCAATTCCCGGCCAGGGGATAGTAGCTGGGACCAAGGGGTACCGATTCATGGCCTTAAAAAAATTTTGGGACCTTCCGGTCGGGGAGGGTAAAGTAAACTCTTACCAGTAGAAGAATCCGTAAGCAATCATTCAAATACAAAAATCAAAATAACCGAACTGCTATTTATAATTACGCGCTAAGCTTGGCACATTTGAAAAACTGCCCCAGGCATTGTGTGGAGATGCCCTGAGGCTATATATATCGGGCTTGGAGATAGCCAGGACTAGAGATATCTCTTGTTCTCTCTCTCTCTCTCTCTCTCTCTCTCTCTCTCTCTCTGTCTCGCTCTTTGTCTCGCTCATTCTCTATCTCTCTTACTCTCACTCTCTCTTTCTCGCTCTCCCCATCTGCTTAAAAACTACCGTATCGATATGTTTCCGGTTTCCGGAAGTTTCGGTGTGGCATATTTACATCGTGATGTTGGATCTTAGTCTTCTAAAATGATTAAAAGTGATAACACAATTTAAAATTGAATTTATTAGAACTACAAAAACAAACTATGTTTGCTGTGTTAAAAACTTTTAAAACCTGAAAATAGTCGTTTGGCCTCAAAATCCTGTGTCTAAACGGGCGTGAAATTGACAAAATCGACAGCTGCCATCCACTAGGTCTAGACAACTACGCAATGCGCCAAATGCCGAAAAAGAAAAAGCTGAAATGAGACTGAATGCGTTATTTGGTGTATCGGGTGGCTGTCTAGGCCTAAGAAAAGTGAGAGGGCGATTTATAAGTTTTCTGTCCCATTTAAAGTGATTTAAGATCTGCCGGATCCCCGTAATAATCTGCCGGAGGTCAGGCAGATGCCCTCCCTCCGCTGTCATTAGTGTCACTCCGTTGCAGATGCAATTTCAGCAGATGCCTACTACGGACTACAACATACGCATTCGGATTCATCTGATGATTCTGAAGAGATTCATTCAGACAATTCTTAGTTTCGGTTCCTTATTTATTTCCTAGTTTTCATTAACGCCCCCTTCCTTGAGTTCCACTTTTGACTTTAGCTGCGCTTTTCATTGCCACCCGATCTCGCTCTCACATTTTATCTCTCTGTCTCTCTTTCTCTCTCGCTCTCTCTCTCTCTCTCTTTCTCACTCTCTAACGCCCTACTTCATTCTCTACCGCTGTCACTGACATATTCGAGACCACCATTTTTGTTCTATTTACGTCAAAAACCATTTTCCCTCCTTTTCAGATGTCATTCGACTTCGGCGCGCTCCCACTCGAAAATCAATTCGAAATCCTGCGCTACATGGATTTGCAAAGCTTCTTCAAAACAGCCATTTCCAGCAAATCGATGCTACAGCTGGCTAAAGGATGCCGGGACAAACGGTGGGAATGCGATCTTGTGCATTGTACGAAAAAAGGAGACTTCGAGCTCTGGGGATACCCTAGTCCTCGACTGCTGCACATAAACTACAAAGCCATGCAGTTGCTTTTCCATAATTCGACTGTTAACCTGCTAAACCCCGACATGCTTCCGCGTGAAGAAATCAATATTCGTTGCCGAAAGCTGGACCTGAATCTGAACAGATCCGAACCTTACGATATATTGCCGTATCTCAAACGTCATAAGCCGTTGATCGGGAAATATGAATATGTCTATGCGTCTAGACAATTTCCACCATCCAGTGAAACGCTGGATTTTCTGAATGCATCGACGGATAGTGTGACGGCCACACTCTGCGCCCCCCCTATCGGAATACATTCATCTGAAGGTGCCACACATGATCCTTGAAGCGCCCATGGATTCCGGCGAATCCCTGGCGGCAAATGCTGAAGTGATAATCCGGGAATGGCTCGGTGGCGAACGGCAGATTAGCCCTCTTATAGAGCTTAGGAATTTCGATACGGTATTGAACCCCATCCACCCGGTCTTTTTTACGCGACACCCGAAACTCTACATGACTGATAGGGACATCACTTATTATCGCATCCCCCGGAACGATGGCGAGGTTATGATTCTCAGATTTTGTCCGCGCTTCCGGTCCATCTGTATCGCGCCGCCCGACTCTACCACTTTATGGGAATATCATACTAAGTTTGACAAATTTATATTCGGTGCCGAATAAATATTGCCTCAATCGTTCGAGTCGATAAATTTACATTTTACATTGGATAGTTTTGTCAAAAGCCATATAGCTCGCATCTTATGCCGGACGAAGAAAATTAAAAAATAACAGTGACAGAATCGAAATAGCACATCCAGGGGCGTAGCCAGAAAAAAATTTCGGGGGAGGCCCCGAAAAAATTTTTTCGAAAAGCTCAAAAGATTAACGAGAAAACAGCGCCGCAGGCGAAAAATTTAGGTAAAGGAGGCTATATAGCTCTAAAAATAGCGCCGCAGGCAGCAAAATTTTTGAGAAAATAAAAATCATAAGGGTCCCCCCTTATGAAATCTTCGGGCCCCGGCCGATTTCGGGGAGGCTCGGGCCCAGGGGGCCCACCTTGCGCTACGTCCCTGAGCGCATCTCCAGACACTTCAAACGGGTTTTGATGGCAAACTGTATTTTATGTGAAACTCGAAACGTGGTTTTCGCGCCAAAGAACTATTCGGTCTTACTCAAAACTGTTACGTTTTTTCGCCGGAACGAAATCACTTTCTGGGTCTTCTCGGCGATAAGCCTTTTGTTTTCTGGCCAATAGGTTCGATTCCCGCACGCACACATTTTGATTTCTTGGCCCTTTTATGGGGGGCCGAAATCTTGTCCACGGCTTTCAGCGTTGATTCCTGGCAACTAGCCATGCGTCCGTAACGCGACCGCGACGCATGGAATTTTGCCTCGGTTTAGACGTGAAAACGCTTGAAATTAACAATTCTGAAGTGGTTTTTGGAATCCTCACAGAATTTTGATCATTCTAGACGTTTTAATTACGAAAATTGATCAGCGAATCACCGAGATCGAGAGCTCGGGTGTCTTACGAGGAATTACGACATGTAATCGACACCAAAGTGCTTTTTGCCCCGAGAAAATTTCGGTTTTTCTCAAATTATTTACGTTTTTTCGCACCGAAATCACTTTTCTGATGCTTCTCGGGCAGCAACCCTTTCGTTTTTGGACCGGTTGGTTGCATCGGACGCGCGAATTTTGACTTTGGAGCCCCTGTAAAAGGGGCTTTGTCGTTATCGCGCTTTTTCCGGCGAAAAGTTTGCTTGCGAGGTGCCTCTCCCCCGTTTAATAAACCTTGAAGCCTGACAAAACTGTTCCCTTTCCAGGCATTTTTTCGGCTTTTCGGCGGTGAACTGTTCTCGCACCAATGCCAATTCCTTCAAATATCGCTTTGAGTGCGTCGTATTTGGCAGACATGAACGTCTTTGGCGCCGTGTTCGCCCTCTGCTTTACAATTCACTAGCTTATCCGTTTATTTGTCTTTTTTCAATCGTCTACTACAGGGTGGGCAAAAAAATCTCCTCCTTCCCTTCCCCTTCCCCCATTTCTGTTTTTGTATACTATGTTCTGATACTGAACCCCCTGAATATGATCCCGATTAGGTCCCCTCCACCCCTTCCTCTCCTCTATTATTATGACATCCAAAATGGGTCCCCTTTTTCTATCGACAAATACAGTTTTCAATTCAAAATCGCACAAATAAATCAATACGCAACACTATTTACTAAGAAAATAGCTCCAAAAGAATTTATGCTAACATGATAACCGCTTTAAAAAATAGTACCCCGACTGGGCAAATGAACCCTGCTAACATGCCTCGATAGAAGCTTTAGAGATTTGAAGTGACATATCAATTTATTTTATTTATTCAATGCAAGAAACGAAGCCTTATAAAAACGAGCCAGAAAGGCTTCTTAAAAATCTCTGTTAGCCTGTGGGCACCCTTAATTTTTTGATTGCGATTTTGATTCCACAAAGAAAACCTGCAAGCGTAACCGATTACACCTCGTTTCATCTGAGCTCCCTTTAATCATCGCCGATTTCAATTTTAGCAAATGTAGGAAAACGATTTATCATGAGTCTAGCACCGGGATTACGCCAAATGAATACGATCAAGGCACACCGTAAAGCTAAATAATTAAATCAAATCATTTTGACGGCAATCTTGGCTTTCAACGAGAACACCCGACTATCATTGTGGATGTGGAGGTGGAGGGAAGAGGTTGGAGGGTGTCTAAAGGTGTGGAATGGACTCCAAAAGCTCTCTCACTCCCACTCTCTCTCCCGGACCCTGTTTGAAAACCTACCGTATCGATATTTTGCCGGTTTCCGGTAGTTTCGGCGTAGCGTATTTAAACCGTGGCGTTAGATCCTCGTTTTCTAAAGCAGAAAGCTTTTAATTTTTTTTTTTTTTTTTAATTTTTTTTTTTTTTTTTTTTTAAATTTTTTTTTTTTTAAAAAAAAAAAAATTTTTTTTTTTTTTTTTTTTTTTTTTTTTTTTTTAATTTTATAAAAAATAAAATTTTAAAAAAAAAAAAAAAAAAAATAATTTTAAAAAAAAAAAAAAAAAAAAAAAAAAAAAAAAAAAAAAAAAAAAAAAAAAAAAAAAAAAAAAAAAAAAAAAAAAAAAAAAAAAAAAGATAAAAATAGAAAACTGAACCTAATTAAGGCAAAAATTTGCGTAAAAAATTATTTAGTGATCGAAATTTGGACAACTTTAAAAACTATAAAAGTCGATTCTCTAAAGTTGAATTACGGAAACCAAAATTCTCTAGGTCAAAACCCGTCGAAAAATCGTTAAAACCTGCCGCATTGAAACCAGAACATGGCTTCTTGATTCAGAGAAACCTCGTAGAGTAATGTCTTGCCCTCGATACAATAGTCCAGTACGATCGACCCGCCAGTTTTTACTGTAACCGATTCGTATTCCGGTTCGAGGTCCAAAGACTGCCAGAAGGAGTCTGGCGACTGGAAATTGAATTTTTGCATTTGGAAATGAAAATTACAAAACGTCGGGCTTTGCTAGTTAAACCCAAAAGTTGAAACTAAGAAGGGATCTTATTTTCCTAAATGGTCTTCGATAGCCTGCCTCTATGTGAGAAATAATTCTATTGTTTTCCAGCTCCCGTACGTCTTTAAAAAATGGCTGTAATTTTTTAACTATTTTATTTTTTTAATTAATTTTTTCTTGGAATCGTTACAGCTGCTAAAGGTCGATTTCAAGAGTCGCGCTTTTCCCCATGAATCATTGCAAGCCTGCCTGCCCGTGAAAACGTATTCTTCTGAGCTGTCACACTCCATTTAACCCCCCTTAATAGATTACCTTCTCGTCTTTATCCTGGATTTTCTCTGAAGGGACACAACCATTTGGCAGGCAGCCAGCTGGGACCTAAATCAAACAAAAAAGTTATGTGATTCTAACATTCGTCAAACCTTTCTTTTTCCACCAAATACTTCTGGGATGGCTTCTGGACTTAAGAAATTCTCGAGCTGTTGAGGCAATTTTGTGGCAAAAGCAAATCGGGAATGAACATGGGAGGGCAGGAGGAGGGAGGCTACCTAAAAATACAACTTCCTACTTAAAAATTGGGCATCTAAAAGACCTGAAAACGCGAAAATCGACCTTTTCTGACGACGAGGTCTAGACAACTACAGAAGGCACCAAATCACTCTGAAAATCAGCTCAATCTTGGCTGTTTGCCTCGTTTCAAGTGTACTAAAAAGTGACTGAATTCGTCATTTGGGGTATCGCGTAGCTTGTCTAGGGTTAGTCGATGGCAAAGGGGTAGATTTTGGACCTTTCTAGCCCCTTTAAAGTGCTGTACAATCTGCAGAGTTAGACCAAGGCGATGCGACCGTGACGCTTGTCTACTTCGCTGACCAATCGACAGTTTCCCAGTGACTTCTAGTGACACGCCACGTGACCGTGACGCGAATGCAACGCGTTCAAGAAAGATATGGTTTCACCTTCCAAACGATCGATAACATTGTGGGCGGATTGACGATAACGACTTGACGTAGAATTTCGCCGTAATAATCCAGCCAAATGTTGATGCGAGCCTTAAAAATTGTATAATTTTTTTTGGTACTTGAAAAATGCGTACTTTAATGTTTGAATTAATATTAAAGATTTAAAATTGCACGGACCTGCATAAAGGCATTAATAGGGGACGTCGGATTCATGTATGCAGATATTGGGAATCCAGACATGTCAAAGAGACAAATACCGTGCGATGGTTGGCCGCTGATTTTCTCCCTTTCCAACACCTTTAAAATAAGTTAAGGTATTTAAAAATACATTAAAAAAAATTGATATTAAGGCTAGAAAGCTATCGTACCAAATTCTGAAAGTGCTCACAGTAGCCCATAAACGCTCGCAGATAATCGCCGACGCTGGTTGTTTTTACAAACTAAAATTGTACATTTAGAAAAATTGTAAATTAAAAATACATCCATTGAAATATTTTTTATTCTTTGGTAAACAATGCGTTAATTATCATTCAAAAAACAAGAATATGAACTTTTTGCTAGATTTTTACTGCCTTTAATTTTCGCTAAAATCAAGTTAAAATTTCATTTTTTAAAATATGTGTAGCTGAAAAGCAATACGCTAACGCGTAAATTTATGCGTTTTCTAGGCTACCGTATCGTTGAAAAGCTATGTATTTCATTATTACCGTACCTTCTTCGGTTCTTCGATGCTCATCTCAACAAATACCAGACCATTATCCTTTTCGTTCACCCAACCACCGTCGAGAGTACTTTGGCGGACAAAACGACCACAGGCTGTCGAACCTAAAAAATTGCAAATCGCCAAATATAAACCGAAGCTATATAAATTACTATTTCTCCAAAAATTCGGGTTAGCAATTGCGAGTTTAGCCGCATTGTAATAAAATATGCCAAAACTAACGATTTTCCTTTACAACTCTGGCTACTCGATCCGGATCATCGTAGCCGAGTACGTGTCGTATCCTCGCGTATTCATCGTATTTTTGCGCGGCTTTTTCAATGTTCTAAAAAACCCAATTAAGTTATTTAATTGACTGAAAGGGAGAAAGGCAAGTGCTAAAAACAAACATTTTGGTATGAGGTCAACCATCTTTGGATGTTGAATTGGGTATCGTGCTCTTTTACGAGAATATTTCCCAATCGCTGTCGAAATTCAGCAATTTGCGGGGATGAAGACGACATCTGAAAGAATCGGTAACCTCGTGAAGGAGAGAGAGAGAGAGAGAGAGAGGGGGGGGGAGGAGAGAGAGAGAGAAAGAGAAAAAGAGAGAGAGAGAAAGGGAAAAACACCAAAAACGAAAATCGGGACAGGGCACGAGGCTCAAGGGGTTCTGCATTTGGTATGACCCGACTGGGCGGTCAACCGTGAATTGTTGCTTTGACACGATCACAATAGGATTGAAATTGCGTGACCGAAAAGAGAGGATCAGCCAGGGGTTGCTAAAGGGACTGGAAAGGCAAGACTGTGGATTTTTAGGCTATTGTGGGTTAAGGATTTTGTAGCCGTCGTTAAACGCAGAGAGAGAGACCTTCTTTCGGTTGCGTAATCGATTACGATTACGCAGCAGAATTTTTCGGGAATCCCCATGATCGGTTGGGCAACAGAATCCATAGCAACGCCTTGCTGGTATCTTTCATCAAAAAATTGGTAAAACCGCGTAGTTTACCTCGAAAAGCGGTCAATTGTGAGTAGAACACTTCGAAGACTGTGGGTAGAAGCTGGCAGAACCTATCTAGCCTCCCAGCAAGCCGCCCTAGCCAAAACAACCTTGCAGACAATGGGACGAGAGAGTGAAAAGAATAATTGGAGGCGAGAGAGAGGGAGAGAGAGAGAGAGAGAGAGAGAGAGAGAGAGAGAAGCAGCGAAAACAGGTTGGGGGTACGCCTTGGGGCATGAAAGGGGGATGCCTCTTCAGGTTCTGCCAACCAGGCTGCAAGCGAGGCGAAAGGGAGGAGCAGGACTCAAGGGCTTGCAATGGTGAACTGAGCAACAGAGAGTGAAGAGAGTGCCGAGAAAGAAGGATTGAAAATCTGAATGGCAGATGAACGCGAGATAGCCTCTGAGGCAAAAATCTGGTAGTTTGCAATTTTTTCGGGTTATAATTATGTAGGAGAAAACGTTAACTAGAAATTCTGTGCTGTTGAAATCGGTATGACCCGGAATACTGAGTATGACCCGGAAAAGGACGCCGTAAAAATGCCCCAAAACGACAACAAATCAAGCACACAACACGCAGGGAAAGGGGGGATTGATTTCGACAGGAAAACACACAAATTGGCACGTGAAAAACAGGTTTCAGAAAAGCCACCAACCTGGGCAGAAGGGCCGGAAACGTGGTGACACACCGATTTTTGTTGTATTTCTGTTCTTGCTTTGTATTCTTTCGGTTGTTAGTAGTTTTTAATTTTTTTAGGTTTATTTTTGTAATTAAGGCATGTCTATCCATTTCTATTTATTAAGAATTAATGACCTCTCAGAATAATATTTAAAATTTAAAAGACTAAAAAGGGCAAAATCTTGCTTAAGAAATTAAGTTTAAATTTCTAAAATAATTGCTGAAATTCTAATAAAAATTTTTATTCAAAATTTTTCAAAACTCAAAATAATACAAATTATTTTAATGCAAAATTTTGCTGTTTTTTATATTTTTGTATTTCTTTAAACAAATGACCAGGGTCGAAAAGCCGCTTCGCGACTTTTCAACCCCGGCCCCGTGAAATCTTCACTTTGCGTAATTCCCCGAATTTCGAGCAAAAAATGAGAAACGCTACCCTCCCCCCATAAAAGGTACCGCACCTCCGGCGGATGCTAATTGTTTCCTAACAAAGAGGGTGTATGATTTTTCAACAAAAAGCTCAATTTTAACGTCGAAAGCAGAAAAATTTTGAAAATTTTATGAGTGTGCAGTCATCCCAAGGCCATTACGCACCTAATGAGGTATAAAAGATACCCCTAACTACTCCCTTATTGAGATACTGCTGGAACACGCTGACGGAAGTTGCATGCAAATGCACACACATACATACATACACACACACAGGAACTATTTTTTTATATATAGTAGGATAAATCACTTTATTCAGAAAGCAGTAATGGCAGAATACTTGTGGCGGGGAGAATGACCGGTATCAAAACTGGAGGGCAACGTTTAGCCATTCAGGCCATCAAACGAATAGCCGAAATGGACTCCATCGCTCGAAAAATGAGGGTTCGGGTTCTCGAATTTGCAGGGTATCGTCTTTTGCTGCCATGGCAATGCTTTGAGCCGCCTCCAGAAGATGGGCAGGGATTTTCCAATTTTTCGGCATTCTTGGCACCGGGCCAGATGTTCCGGAAACTCTGAAAAAAGATAAATGAAAGATTTTGCGATGTTGTAACGGATTTTTCAGCGGTCGCGACACTAAACGCGTTCGTTTTTACATTGCCAAATCGGTTGAACGTCTTTGAAAGTGGCCAAACGGTACGTGCGTTGCGTGACGCGGATGCGACCAAATCCAAACGGAAGCGGCAATTTCATTGCGTAATAGAGTGTCCGCTTAGCGATAGCCAAGCGGTGCGTGTCGCGGCGGCCGCGAAATTCAGACAGAGTCTTCGCCGCGATACGCGACGCGCCACCCTTCGATTTACATTGCGTAATCCATTACGCCTTTTTAATGCGGCCATACGGCAAGTGTGTTGCGTGTCGCGGGTACGGCCAAATCCATAAGCAAGCCGTAACCGCGACACGCAACGCGCCACAGTGTTTCCATTGCCTAAACCAATTACGCTTCATTTAACGGTCGCGTTCAAAACGGCGTGCGTCGCGCTCAGCGGTAAAATTCTGTGACACAGCGACAACACGCAAGCTGTGGGGGCAGGCTAGGTGCGTTACGTGTTGCGCCGCGGCTGTTTCCACATGAAACCCGTAGCCGAACATCCAAAAACCTTGTCCGGCAGTCATAAATTTAGACCGACCATATTGTCCGCCAGACGCCAAATAAAATAGGCTTGCAATTGGACAGACCTACGGCCATGGAGACAGACAGACAGACAGACGCAAAAAAAACAACCCAAAACCAGCCGACTTACTCGCAAATCTTAGTCAGGATTGCATCTGCAATGATTGCCGCATCATTTGTCGGCCCGTTCAAGTCGATATTTTTCATTGACTGCCACATCGCTGCAGAGTCAGGGTCTCCCTGAAAATAGCTTGATTAGAAGGAAACACGACTTTCCATACCCCAGCATGCTGTGCAAAGCTGTACGGCACGAAATAGTGCGTCCAATCCGTAAATAGTTTTCCAGCTGCGAAATCGGGATTTACTTTTTTCATGCTGAAAATACGGGATTTGGGTCAGAGCGAGTGAGAGAGAGGAGAAAGGAAGAGAGAGAAGAGAGAGAGAGAGAGAGATACGCACTCGTGATTTGACGGCAGCCAAACCATCATTTGAGGGACAGTATTTAAATCCGCATCGGCACTTGCTCCTCTAACGATTCTTTGGCAATTACAGTCCTTGTTTCTTCGGCCAAGGGTTGTGAGGATCCTGAAAAAAAGGAGAAAATTTTGCGTTAGCTCTGCTCTCTCTCACTCACTATCCCTCGCACTTTCCCTATCGTTTTCTCTCTCTTTCTCTCTTCCCTCTCTCTCTCTCTCTCACTCTTTTGCTCTCTGTCTCTCCACTTACTTGGTCATATCCGTCACTTCCTGGCCGATACTGTCGGCAGACAGCGTTGTGTTAATGCCCATCATGAAATAATCTTGGCATTTAAAAAATGAAGACAACCCCAACAGATTGTCCTCCTCGTAGGAGATTACTGGAACGGTGGGACTAATGAAATTCAAGAAACAAACCATTAGTGCGCGTTCTCCAGAGCAATGGCTGCTTTCCATCACATTTCAAATCATGAATCCCGATCATCTGAGGATCGGAGGATAGTTGAGAGTAGATATACCACAGCGCCGTGTTTACCTGAAAAAAAATGCAGATTCATCATCAATTGCTTGTAACGAAAAAATACAGAGAAAACTGCTAAAGCCCATCAAAAAAAGATCGGGCACTAAAGACACAAATAAATTTTGCATAGATATCTGACCTCCAGGCGACTTGCAATGGGACCCACAGCACGGGCAAGAGCGACACGCAGTGCAACAGACAACACGCAGACAAGGAGACGTTTTTGAGTGACATCCTAGTGAGCAGGACCCAGCCTATCTGGGTCCAAAATTTTCTTAATTACCATTTTGGAGGCGTTACTGTGCATTTTAGGGCTCAAATGCTCAGAATCTCAAAGTTTAGACTTCTGCAAATAATCGAGAGCTACGGGCAGCTTGACTCGTGGCGCGACACGCAGCGCAATAAGCCAGTCGACGCGTACGGTCTTTACAGCGTTGAATGAATTGCCACTCGTTCAAGGCGGTTCCGTGCGCGTCGCGTGTCGCGGCGTCCAAGCACAGAACCGAAACTTTCCATTGCTAACAAATTCATGCCAAGGTTTTGCTGCGAAGCGCAAAAAGCGCGTTGGACCAGGACCGCAGGACCGCGCCTAATTTGCTCACCCACTACCATTTTATGAATTGAAATGGAGATTTGAGTTTCCCTAAACAGCTTGTAATATTTTGTGATTTAGCTAACTGACTTTCTAGCCTCTTTCTGCTTTTCCGTTCCCTTTAAAGCGACAAAAAACAAACCGCTGTCTGCTGCTCCGAGCTGAACGTGAGGTCGACGATGAAATTCAGGTCCACACGCGCGTTTAGCGTACAGTACTCGAAGGCGTTCGTCGTCGGCTCTTCCGACACGCCCACGGCATTCACTTAATTTGATTTTACGCATGCAGATTTTTATGATTTAAATAAATAAGTTTAGTAATTTTGAAGATTTGGTTAAACAGCATGAATCAGAAATTTCCCTAATTTTGCTCGTTTTTTGAAGCATTTACAAAAATTCGAGGGGAATTATTTATGCCGTGGAATCCAATTCAAAAGTGTCAAATAAAAATTATGTACTTGATTTAACTGCTTGCCGGTTGTCTGGGCCACCGAATTCCGCGGGAGCTTGCCAATTCGCGGGCATTCTTGGCACCGGGCCAGAAGTGCCGGAGAGTCTGGAAAACGATGGATTAAGCTCTTAAAACACGACCATTTATAATCCAGTCCGCGCAAAGGACCGCGACACGAAGACAGGGAAGAAATGATCGCGATACGCAACCCCCAGGCTGACTTTTCATTGCGTAAACGATAACAACGTCTAAATCTTAAATCGCTTTTAAATCGTGCATTGCCTGTCGCGGCTTTAATGAAAACCATAGCGCCGATAAGCAACCCGCATGTGCGTCTTTCTATTTCGTAATCGATTACGGCGTTTAAATCGGGCTACGCGATCCGTTTGCCGCGTGTAGCCGCGAAAGGCGCAGAAAAATTCCTAGGCCTGCTATGCCCGACTTCTCTAATCCTCAAAATGTCACTTACTGGCAGATCTTGGTCAAAATAGCATGCGCGATGGCGTCCATGTCAATTGTCGGGGTATCCAATGCAATATTTGACATCGATTTCCACATTTCTGATGAATCGGCGTCACCCTAAAGTTCCGTTTTTAATCGTAGAATTATTCACGCTAAAAACGGCTTTTATAGGCACTGAAAACCCTCGGAACCGCCCTTCTTGCAGACTAGGTCTAGCCAGCCACGTGAGGCGCGAAATAGCACAAAAAATAGACCTCGGTAGGTCGGTTGGAACGATTAAAAAATAGACAGAAGATATACATTCGCGCGTCTATTGGCTGTCGAGACCTAGTGGAGAGAAAGAGTCGATATCCGTGCCTTCCGGTGTCTTTGAGAGCGTTCTACCGTACCTCAGCATCCTGTGCAAAGCTGTAGGGCACAAAATAGTGTGTCCAATCCGTCAATAGTTTCCCGGCTGCAAAGTCTTTGGGGACTTTTCCGACGCTGAAACATAGGGGTTAGAGAAAGAAAAAGAAAAAGAGAGAGCGAGAGATGAGAGAGGAAGAGAGAGAGAGGGGGCTCACACGTACTCGTGATTGGCTGGCAGCCAGACCATCATCTGGGGTACTGTATCCAAATCAGCATCAGCACCAGTCACCCTCACCATTCTTCGGCAGTTACAGTCCTTGTTCTTTCGTCCGAGATTCGTGATAATCCTGAAAAATTAAAGAAATAATGAAAATCTCTCTCGCTCTCTATCTCTCTCGCACGGTCTCTCTCGCTCTCTCACTCCCTCTTTCTCTCTCGCTCTCTCTCACTCCCTCTCTCGCGCTCTCTCTCTCGCTCTCTCACTCCCTCTCTCCTATCTCTCTATCTCTCTCTCGCTCTCTCCCTCCCTCTATCTCTCTCTCGCTCTGTCTCCCGCACGTCTCTCTCCTTTACTTGGTCATATCCGTCACTGTCTGATTGATATTATCCGTATTCAGCGTCGTGTTAATTCCACTGAAGAACCAGTCCTGGCATTTGGTGAATGACGACAGTCCCAACAGGTTGTCCGTCTCGTAGCTGATCACTAAAAATGGCTCCTTATCACCGTAATCCTGTAACATTCGAAAATACTTATTACTTTAGTTTGCTTAATTTAGGCAAAAATATAATAAAAAACCAGCTATATTCTCGGTAGCCATACCATTAGTGCGTGTCCTCCAGGTCCAACCGGTGTTATTTCCATAGCAGTTCGTGCCCGCGGAATCGACGCCAATTGTCCCTTTGTCGGCCGATAATTGCGTGTAGATGAAGCTGAGCGCGTCGTGAATCTGATTTTTTTATTATTAGAATTTTACAACAAATTCTTTGTAGGTTTTCTGCCTTCCCAGGGCCTCCGAACACAAACCCCAGTTTACAGATTTTCCCCGATTTTTTTCTGATATCTCTGGTCTTTTAGTACCTCAAAAAATGACACACCGCTTTCTGCTGGTCCCTGCTGGAGAACGTGAGGTCAACGATGAAATTCAAATCCACACGGGCGTTCAGGGTACAGTACTGTAGTGTGGTGGTGGTTGGTTGGGTCGTTGGGGCGGTGCTGGTTACTGTAACAAGATATAATTCTCAAAAATTGTTATAACCTGGTGCCGTTGAGGGCTGAGCCGATGATGAGGAACCGGCTGAAATTCATTTTTTATTTTTTTGAAGTTGTCCGATAATTTTGGAGTCGTGAACTGCTTGAACCTGGTGTGGTGGATGGCTGAGGTGCTGATGGTGTGGCGGATGGTGACGGCTGTGGTGTGCTACTACCCAATGGTGGTGTTGTGGATGCAGTGCCGGAGGGAGTGGAACCTTTAAAGGAAGTGTGACTGTTCGCTTGCGGAGGAGAAAGAGAGAGAGAGAGAGAGAGAGAGAGAGAGAAAGTGAGACAGTGAGAGAGAGAGAGCAAAAGAGAGCGAGAGGAGAATAAAGAGAAAGCGATGGGCGCTTTCAGATTTCCCGTTTTCACCTGATCGCAAATTTACTTTAAAGGGGGTGGGAGCTCTCTCGCTCGACTAGGTCTAGACAACTAGGCGACACTCCAAATGTCACGTTCATCCTCCTCTCAAACTTTTGCTCCATTTTCACATTTAGGGACTTTTAACGTGAAATTAAACCCGTTATCAGGCCGGTCGCGTAGCCGTCTAGACCCAGTGGACGGAAGAGATTGTTCTCACATTTCGCCGGCCCCTTCTAGAAAGACCTGGATGCCCTTGGGTACTAGATTCTGCCACAAAATTCTACCCTGTGTTGTGCTGCCAACTGGTGATGGTGTTGAGCTTCCGGAAGGTGCGGTGGACGCTGTGCCAGAAGGTGTGCTGTTACCAGACGGTGTGCTGCTACCAGCTGGTGGCTGGGTGCTCGAGACTCCTACAAAAATCGTGAAATAACGCGAAAAAACAGTGCAGAAAAACCGGGTGCTCGTGAAGGGATGGTGCTTGATGGTGAATTTGATGGCGTAACCGATTGGGACGAGGTGCCAGACGGAGTGGAAGATACCGCAGATGTCGAAGGTGCTAGTGATGCTGTGCTGCCCGCTAAAGGGACGTGCAAATCGTGCAAAAACACTCATTTTGGAGGTGAGTGTGCAGATGGTGGTAGAGTGCGCTTTAAAGGTACGCGGCAAGGCAGGGCTACATTGTTTCGGCTGGATTTTCACTAAGGATTTCCTATGGATTTTCCGCACCCCAACCCGCAACACAGCGCACGAGCACACTCTTTCATTGCTTAATGGATTATATGGACGTAATGAATGAATGAATAGCGGTACGCGTATTTTATCACGTCAAGTTTCGCGCGCGTTTTGCGACGCGTATCGCGTTGCGTTGCTTGCCGCGGAGGAAAAAATCCATAGACAATCCATAGCCAACAAAATCCATGATAATGCCTTGCCGGTTCCTTTAATTTGTTTTGCTGATCTACCCGGTGTCCCAGTGCTTGATGGTGAATTTGATGGCGCAACCGACGGGGTGCCAGGTGAAGATGAGGCTACAGTAGATTCTAATGGTGATGGTGAGGTGGAGCTGGCTAAAGAAGGGTGAAATCTGTGCAAAACAGATTATGTTGACTGAAAATTGAGCGACCGCAAACTACAGACTTCAACGAAATGTGCATTCTTTGGGTGGTGGAACAACTACATACTACAATTGATGGGCGAATTCCGACGTGAAATTAGAGTAAAAGCGGTACAGGTGCAAAATTGTGCAGTGCAACAAACTAAAACACTGAAAAACACGACAATTGATGAAATCGATGTTTTAGGACAAAACTGGAGACCACACACTATGAAATACACTACGAAGAACCTTGATTAAACAAAGATTAAGACACGTTAAATTTTGGCCAGAAACGACAAACTACAAGCTCTGTTTTCTTTTTTTCTGATGACATGGTTGCTTTTAAAGCATCTGACTGGACTGCAAACTACAACTACCAAAAATTTCTGGGTTTTCGGAAACTTACATCTACTACAATCGACTACAAATTTATGAATTATTGTGCTAACATTCAAGGCTACAAACCACAAACTACAAACGCTAAACATACAAAACAGCATTTTCCGAACCTTCAGGTGTGCTGCCAGTAAACGGTGCGGTACTCGGGCCACTACTTGCGGATACTGTAGACCCTGCGCTCGTGCTGGAGCCCAAAGATACGGTAGATCCAACTGAACTGCTTCCTCCCGGTGTGGAACTCCCAGCTACAATGATATTTTTTTGGTTTTTATAGGGGCTTGTAACCTGGGCTAGTGCTCGGGGGCACTGTAGAAGTGGTGGGCAAGGCGGTCGTCGTTGGAGCTTCTGATTAGGGGGAAAATGTATAGCAAAATCTTTTCCTGGCTTCAAAAAAAATTTCAAAGAAGATTTTTCGTTCCTGAATTAAGTTACAAAATGCAAAAAAATTAACGTTTAAAACACAAAAGTTATTTAAGGATTTTCCTCCAGAATTGTAGCCATTTCTCTCTTGGCATTTCAAATTTAAGGTTTTTTCTAATTCAGGATGCTCGAGAACGGCTTAAAAAATTGCCATACCAGTGGTGGTCGGCGCTTCGCAATCGATTCTAAAAATATAAATACAATTTTCTGTCATTAATGCACATCAACATACCCCTCATTCACCCCGACTGCAAAATCAATAAATTGCTGCGTATTATTCACTGTCGTTGTGTTTCCCCATGGTAAAAGCTGCAAAGCGAAATAATTAAAAAAGTCTGTTTTGAGGAAAGGAATCAGGTTAATGATGAAAACCAAACCGTCGAAACATCCACACCAAATCCGGTGACATAGACAGAATATTCGTAGTCTTGCCGGATCGTCGCAAAATCCCGATTCGTGTATCGGGGGGCCAGGCTGAAAAATCCAAAGTCAAATAAGGACAATCGAACACTAGTCTAGACAATCGGTGTAAAAAGTTAAAAAAATATATAGCAACTCCAGCGGAATCAAAGTTTCCAAAAAGGGGCTTTTTTCGGACTGTAAAAATCTTGTAATATATTTTTTGCCCTATATCGAAGGGCGTTTTCAAAAAGAAAACGTAAATGGTGAAAATGCCAAAAATCTACTTCACTCCGATATCTCACGTGGAGACGAAAGTTTTCAACCAAATGTTGTATACGATAAAACTTTTATGTTACAGTTTTTGGGCCGAAATCTAATGCAAACTTTTAATTGAAGCAAGTCATAGTAAATTATTAGAAAAATTAGCCCATTTATTGCGACCTACCCGGTCTGTTTTGTCATCAGGAACACATTTTTCAGGTCCGCTTTTTTCGCTTCCTGGGCGAGGAGTTCGAGTTGTCCCTCAAGAAAGATGAACCACCTAAAAAACATGGGCCTCTTTTTTTTTTTATGAAGTTTCTTCTGTATGATTTGGTCGGATTTGACTGGCTACTCCGGCTTTCCAGTCCATGCTTACTTTTTATTCCACGCGGCGGTCGTGGCATTAAGCCCGGCGACATAGTCAAGGGCCTCTTGTGCGGTGGCGAAAATGGTAAAGGCTGGTGTTTGCATATTGCCAATGACGAGGGACACTTTCGCAGCATCGCCTACTGCATATTTCGGGATTAGCGTTGCAAGGCTTTCCTGGAAAGTTCGGTTTTGGCCGATTTTTCCCTCTCATTTCTCTCTCACTCTCTTTCTATCTCCCTCTATCTCTTTCTCTCTTTTTCTCTCTTCTCTCTCTCTCTCTCCTCTCTCGCTCTTTCTCTCTACTCCTAAAGCAAAAGAGAAAACAGACCGCAAAGAGAAAGACAAACCCTCATGACTCCAATATCAATAGCATTTGTATCCACCAGAAAAACGAGTATGCGAGCCTTGGCCTGGCATGGATCACTAGCTATAACGGACAACTGCACGTTAGCATGGTGTAAAAACCCGAATTTTGCCAGAGACTTGAACCTACAATCACAGAAACGTCCGGTAAATCCTGCTTGGCAATGGCAGATCGTTCCATCACGAGTTCCTCCGTTTAGGCAATTTGGAAGCTGAAAACACCCTGGCATTTTGTTCGGCAATGTATCGTTTACTTCAGCTTTTAGTAATTTTCAATTTCACATGGGCTTAAAGGCATGTAATTTTCGCGACTCAACTTGGAGTTACGTAAGTTTTGGTCTTTAGCCCTACCGAGCAGTCGTATCCCAGCCAGTTATCCAGACAATTGCACACTTGCCTGCTCGTAGTGTCGAAAGTTCCACCGTTTTGACAGCCTGAAAATGGAGAAAAAGATTTCGCGTGAGAGTTGATTAAGACAAATACGAGGAGAGAGAGGAGAGGGAGGGAGAGAGGAAGAGGGGAGAGAGAAAGAGAAAGAGTAAGAGGGGAGAGAGGAGGAGGGGGGGAGGGAGGGAGGGGAGAGAAGAGAGGAGGGGGGGGGGGGGGGGGGGAGAGGGAGAGAGAGAGAGAGAGAGAGAGGGTTGACTTCCAAAAATGTATTAAATGAAAGCTAATGTAAAGCCTACCAGGGCCTTGCAAGTCATAACAAGGAATGTAGACGACTTTCTGGAGATAATCGTGCGTTCCCACTTTATCGTTGACAGCCATGATCTAAAAATAGCGTGTAAAAATCTTGGGTTTTCAAGGCCTGAAAAAATTCCCCAAGGCTCTCTGCTAGCCGGCTCAATACCTTGGTCAAAAATCCTCTTGTCTCATTATCACACGGCAGCATCTCGGGGAAGAATTTGAAGGTGCAGTGATTATCCGAGAAATCGTGAGTATTCGAAAGGATTGAATCGGCTGGAATAGACCAATCGGCCACGTAGTCATTCATTGTTCCATTTATAAACAATGGCCGCTGTTCGATGGCCGGGTAATCCTGAAAAGACGTTAAAAACGATGACAACCATAGTACCTTGATTTAAAGACGTAATTGTACTTAATGTTCCTTTATTATCTGGGCCTATAAAAGTCGAATTTCAAGGCAAGTTCCAAAAGCAAAAACGAACCCGTGAGAGCGCAGAATCTCCGAGATCACCAAAATTCGGCATTCGAGCCCCATTCCAGTGGATGTTCAGCACGTTATGCGCTGAATAGATTTATTACTCTCTCTCTCTCTCTTTCTCTCTTTCTCTCTCTTTTTGTATCAATTAATAAACTCACTAGTCCCAAAAGCGATGTTCCACAAGAAGTTTTGATTGGTGTACGTGTTCGAGATTCCGTAAGCAACCTAATTACACGTAGTAAAATAAAAAAAATTCGACAAACCTGTTGCAATCCGACAGTCTCAATTGAAAATGCGCAGACATTATCGGCCGGGCCCCATGAATTGGAATGTGAGCACCCCGGTGGCCTTGATGTAGTCGATCTGCGTGGGTAAGTCGGTGACAGGAAACAGTTCCACTAGAAAACCATTTTCGGCTGGTTGGCTTTTGCTGACCTGCGGTGCCGGACTTGTCAGTCACCACCGGTCGCGGAAACCCTTGAAAAGTGATGAACGTGATCGTGCCGTCATCGTCAGGGATGTAAATGTCCTGAAAAGCCCGTACTTTATATCCACTCAAGGAGCCAAGAAATGCAAAACCTTGTGTACCTGAAAACTGGGACCCGGAACGTTAAAGGCTTTTTACGCCCAGTCCGCAGGAAGTGTGGAAATTTGAGTTTCGTGTTATCACCTCCAAAATCGCCTTCTGAACTGTTTCTGGGCCAAATTGGATAATTAAAACACGACAATTTTTCAAAATTTAGTTAGGATTTCAGAGGGCTTAGAATTTGCTTATTATAGCGTTTTGATAGAAATTCTGGTAGAAACTTTAGCTTAAAAATCGCTGTCGGGAAATGCTGTGCTCGACAGCGGCCGCTGCGAATGGAAATTTGGCAGAGATGTGCCTTATCACGGCATTTTTAGGCTGGCTGTTGCGTGCTGTAAGCAGGAGTTGCGTTTACTGCTTTACGGATTTAAGGGCGCCCGGAATCTGTTTAGCTATTTGCGACTCAACGTACCGTAGAAATGTTGGCACAATCGGCACTGTAGTCGAGCGTAGTCAGGATCGGACCGAACTGCCCGTTCTTTGGCAACGTCTTTACCACGTAGTTTGTCACCACCCAAAATTAAGGTAAAGAAAGTAAAATTGCCTTACATTATTCAAATCGGCGGCATTCCTCAACATGACAGGGACGGTAGCCGACATCATGGCCAACCTCTGGATCAGCGGATCTTCATTTCCCTAAAAATTAGAAATTTCGCGTGCGGTTTTCAGGTAGTTTTTGTCGACCCGCGACAGAGAGAGAGCGCGTGATGCGTCTCGCCGGTGTGGCTTAGGCAGTTCCGAAGCAATTAGATTGTTTTTTCTTTTTTTCGTCTCGTAAAATTGGACATCCTGCTTACATTATTTACTGCAGAATAGATCCGAACATCAGCTCTCTTGTCAGCAATCTTCCTATAGAGCGCCTTTTGCAGCGTAGTATCCGGTCCGCCTTCTCCGTCCCAGATGGTCGATGAAATCCACAAAAGTAGAGAACGGTCTGTTGTCTAAATCATAGTATTTGTCTAAAAAAATAAAAAAAATGTTTAAAAACAAATTTCGAAAAAATTGCTTACCTGGTGATCGAGGGCTTCAATGAGAGCATATTCGGTGTAATCTCCGTCTGATTGCCCCCAATCGTTGCTAACACCAAACGATTGTGCAAGCCATTTTGGATCATTTGTGACGAGACGGGTCTTCACCCCATTCGCATCGCTGTCTAAAAAAGGGTTTACGCCTGGCTACTCCGCGTAAGATAGACTATGTAAATTTCAGGTTCTTGTCCGTTGAAATGTCCGAGAAACCCGGGAGTAATCGAGCCTTTCTGCCGACCAGGTCTAGGCCACTGCGCGACAGACCAAACATCCTTTGCGGCGCGTTTGTTCCTTTGTTAAAAACCAAGTCATAAGCTGTTAAACGTCGTTTCTGTGTCATCTTGCTTCTGGCGTAGTGGTCTGCCCCGATCACGCGGAGGGGTTGCTTTGGAGTTTTCTTGCCCCTTTAAAAACTCGAAATCGCGAAAATTTGGAAATTTTTTTCTAGAATTTTCACGATTGAATAACCTTTGTTTTCATGCAAAGATTTAAGGCCACGGAACCCGAGACTTTCCGATGCTATCTAGACCCAGTCGGTTAGAGCTGTTGATTCTAGTGCGTCCTAATCAGTTCCGTTAGCATTCGGTAGCTTTTCGTGATAATTAGACTTACATGTGACGACGATGATCTGCACGGATTGGAACATGGTGTTGAGGTCAGTTCCGGTTTTGTCGGCCAGTAGGGCCGTCCAGCCCTCGATGATGGCCTTCAGTTCATCGTTCTCCTCCACCACGAAAATCAACGAGCCAATGTTCGACCGATATTCGGGGAGATTAAGTTCAGATTCCGGGATACAATCATAGCCAATCACTAAAAAATGCCCAAGCATAAAAATTAAGAGAAGCTGACATTATACAGTTGTAAATCGTAAAAATACGAAACCGGATTATAAACTAATTTTATGTTATATTTATTTTTTTGGTTAATTATCTATCTGAAAAAACTTACAGTACTCGCAGAAGAATCCACTGGTGCTGTTCGGGCATATGCAGGTCTGGCCACTGGTTACATTACCTCCATTCTGGCAAACAGGCGTGGTACAAGTTGTCCCAGTCCAACCAGCGTTACATGCACACGTGTCTTTGTACTGAAAAACCAAAAATATACCGAGTTCCCCGCGTTTTGAGTTTCTCACTCTCTCTGCCTCTCTCTCCCTCTCTCTCGCTCTCTCACTAGCTCTCTCCCATACCGCTTTTCCATGTGCTCCGCATTGCGCTCCCGGGGCGTCGCTATCAGAGTTGCATACAAATGAGAAAGTTCGGAGCAAGGCTCCAGGGTCTGACGACGCGTTGATGCTCATCTACAACAAGGTGGAAATAATGGGAGGGAAAGGATTTTTGCTTGTGACCATAAATGCTTAGGGTATTCTGCCGCCTCCCCGAGACGCAACGCAACACGGAACGCGCCCCCTTTCCGATTACCTAATCGGTTACGACAGTTTTCGCCAAGCGTAGCGCCTTTTGCTTGCCTGGGTCGACAAAAATCGGGCTCTGGAGCTCGATTTAGTAAAGGAGTACGGCTCTTTTTGGACTAATAACTAACTACTAACTCTAACCATATTATTTATTGAACTCTTTGGCGGTGCATTGGGTATTATCCGATTTGACATCAAAATTGTTCCTGACCTGAACATGGTACAGCTGATTTGGGATCGCGCAGATCCAGTTGTAATTCAAATAATATGGAAACGGGAGTACTGTACAGTTGCTGTTTAACGGTTTCGGATTACCGACGTCGAGCTGGGACTAAAAAATCGTTTCAGAATAGATTCCCGCGAAATTTCACCCTTCTGGATAAATTTGAAAAAGTTTTACTAGCGACAGGTCGTCCTGCTGATAGATGGCAACGCCTTCGATGCCCCCGAAGCCCATCACAGTCGCAAATACGGGATACTCGACGGGCTCGCCTGAATTTAAGGACCATTATTTTTTTTGGAAAGTCGCTTTTCACTCCAAAAAGATTGGAATTTTTTAATTAAAAATTTGGACGCGTAAAAACTTTTAGCTACCGTCCAAAACTAACCAAAAATGGGCCCATAAAGATCATTGCCGTTGCTCTGCGTGTCGGAAAATGCAATGGACGCCTGGATTTTGTGTGTTCCATAGATTCGGAAAGATGTCGGCCCAATGCCACCGTCGATCTGTAGCCGGTAACTGAATTGATCTGAAAAAGTTGGTGGTTGTAGGTAATCGTCTTAAATTAGTTTTCAAACGTTGGCAAAACCTTCCAATGATTTTTAAATAAAGAAAGCATCTGGCAAAAAAATTTACCAGCTTTTTCGGAAAAATACTTGAAGACGCTAATTTGCTGGCCGGACGTATCATTTGTTGAGTAATCTGGTGACGCGGCCGGATTTCCGGGGAGTCCAAGGATCGCTGAAAAATGTTTTTATTATCGGAAAAAATATGGGGCGGGTAATGCATGGCAATGAATTTTGGCGTATCGACTTTGCCGCGTACGCGACACGCAACGCGGGCAAAGTCCATTTCGCCATGTCGTGAATGCGTTGCGTGTCGACTGCGCCGCACAATGAATAACCAAGCCTTGCCGCTCCTTTTTGCTTTTTATTTAATTGAACCAAAAAAATTAAATTCATCACAAAACGCACTTTCGTTGCTAGGCGGTCCTTCGACAACAAAATACAGCGTCTCGTTCTGCCCAATCACCAGATTCCTGCCAATAAAACCGGGTAGGGGATGGATCCATTCTTGACTGTACGCCAGCTCATTTCCAAATAGGTATTTGAAGTTGGCGAAGAACTGAAAAACAGTCAAATTATCGTGCTGCTGGATTTGCTGCTGCATGCATCTTTACAAATACGAGAACGTTTGTACTCAATAATCAAGCTCTTGTAAAAAATTAAAAGTAACAGTACGCTGTTTACTGCAGGAACATCATCAAATACATGCGAAATTCCGCCGGTTGCCGCAGCGATTCTTCGGGAGAAGGTATCGAACGGTTGATCAGTGGTTGGGACAGGATCCTCCTGTCGTACCCATAGCCAATTTACCTAAAATGAATTCGTTACATTCTCGGGAGGTGTGCAAGCACCAGAAACATTTTTTCGCTCTACCAGATTCTGAGAACTATCCCAAATAAGTGAAATGAAAAATTGAAGGCAATGTTAAAAGCCTGGGCTAGACTTTGCTTTACCCGCAGGCACTTTACCCGCTCTACTTTTCCTTTATGTTCCGAAAATTTCTGACAGTTTCGCTATTTTGTCGGGATTTTGGCTACACCATTCGATATTAAAAATTATATAGGTAAAAAACTTTGGGGAACTTCCAGATGGGGGGGGGGGGTAAAGTGTGGCCAAACACTGGCTAAAAATGAAAAATCTCTCTCACCCTAATCCTCCTCTTGTACAGCGCAGCCAAGGCGTCAAACTGCTGCTTGGCGTTCAAGGTAAAAGCGGAAGTGCTTTTGGCGATGACGAACAGATCGAAATATGTCTTGAGGGGAGAAGCGGCAACGTTGGAAATTCCTTGTAGGGCATTCGCGAAATGGGGTTCTGTCGTGGTTGTCGTTGCAATATTGTTCATCACATTTTGGATGGCCTCTTGGAGGGTCTTCGCGGCTCGTGTCTAAAAATTGCGAGGGTAAATGGAAAGTCCGGTTTTTCATGCGTTTGCAATTCATTTTCACCGGGATTCGGAGTTGTTAGTGTTTGGATCTACTGGAAACATACGGTGAAACTGGCATCCCCAACCATACTCGTGACCGCGGCCCCGTCCTTGGGCCACATTGGGACGAGCGTCTCGAAAATATTTCCGGGGTCTAAAGTTGGGGGAATTGTTGAACCGCCCCAAAAAAGTTTGTTGGGATACTTTCTGCCCTCACAAACCCAAAAATCACATGTTAAAGACGTACTTTGCAAAAGCTGTTCAGTAATAGCCGGGTCATTATCGATGACGAGTCCAAGCACGAATTGATCGTTGTTCAGGTAGTTCGGCGAGGCAGGGAGGCACTCTACGAATATTTATAAATTTTCATATAGCTAAATCATAATTTCAAACTTCTGTTTAAAATTGCTCAATTCCAAAAAATTTCCAAAGATGTTGAAAATCGTGAATTTCCGAAATTCTTTTTGAATCAGAAATATGTTGCTTGAAAATTGCCAAAATGCACATAAATAAAACGGCTGGATTTTTTGAATTTTTCTTAATAATGAGATTGCAAAAACCTTACTGCCGGCATCCACGATTGGGCTGTCGATTTTTGCCTCCTCCTCTTCCGGCTCAACTTGCAGTTTTTCGGCGCCATTGCTCGATACTAAATTCGCCTAGTTGTGGGCCTAAAATAGCTAACCATAAATAGCAGCTCCACAGTACAACGGCAAAATTCCTTGGCTGGGCGCAGCGTCGTCTTGATCGGAAACCTAAAACCGCTAGGTACTGGTTGTTTTTTAGATTACTACAAGCAATTTTATGTTACTTGAAAGATATACCTTGACCCAAGTGACAGTCCCCTCCGTACAACCCTGGATTTGGGCAACAATAGATGGATACAGACATCTCGCTCCGTCAGCTCTGGAAGCCGATGGTTTAGAAATATTCAGCAAAGTAGAGTTGGTGCTCGTTGCTGTCACTCCACCAGCCGAGACGAGGTGATCCGGGGCATCTGGGAAAAACCTGGACTTCCGGAAAATCTTTCTGACTAGCTCTCTCTCTCTCTCTCTCTCTCTCTCTCTCTCTCTCCTCTCTCCCTCCCTTCTCTCGCTGCAAATTCTGCTCACTTCTGTAGTGTCCAATCGGTACAGCATGTGGATGAGAAGCATCGACTTCCGGTGCGGTAGCGACAGCGAAGCCAAGCGGGAATTTCGGTTTTCCAAGGATCTGAAATCGATTACGATATGTCATCTGATCGTGCGTAGCCATACCAGTAAAAAAGAGAGCGCCATAAACGAGAAAGAAAGGGAGAGAGAGAGAAAGAGAGGAAGAGAGAGAGAGAGAGAGAGAGCGAGCGAGAGAAAGACAGAGAAAGCAAGAAAGAGGTAAGAGTACCGTACTCTTAATCCGGTGAATAAATTGTCGCCCCATGCTTTCTTGATGTATGTCGTAAGGAGCGTGTCGTTCCAAATCTTCAGCCGGTAAATCTAAAATAACTGAACTTTGCCTTTTTAAATTTTTAAATATTGTTTTAAAAGCTTTGCCTGGTTTTCTTACTCTCTCTCTCTCTCTCTCTCTCTCTCTCTCTCTCTCTCTCTCTCGCTCACTCCCTAACCAACCTTTGTGTAGCCATAATCAAATTTTTCAAAATATTCTCCATTCTCCACCGAGAGGTTCATACTTGGGTTCAGCGTCTCCAGCCGGTAGGTACGGTCGGCAGCTGCAAAGGAAGTTGATTTTTCATACCTGGTGTCAAAATTACTCGGAGCCTCCGGTTCTCGAAAGTAGAAGTAGAAACTCGTATCCGCAGAATATAAATCGAATGTTAACCGATTATTCGGGTCTTGCTCGATACGGTTGTAGCTGGTGGAGAGGGTGAACGCTTGAAACATTGCCTGAAATCTCGGATTATAGAGGCTTTCGTGTATTTTTTAAATTGGTCTCCCATAAAAGGCAGCTCTTATCCACTAGGTCTAGACAGTTACTTTAAATGAACAACAAACGTGCTGACAGGCCTTGCATCTTTTTCACAGTCATAACTGTTTAAAGCTTTTAAAGGGTCGAAAAAGCTATAATTTCTGGATTTTTGGCTATTTTTATGCAGCCGTGACACGAAATGCGCAGCCCACTTGGCCGAGGAGTACGGATCGTAATCCATTACGCAATAAAAGCGCGCGCATTGATTGTCTAGACCTAGCCGTTCTGAGGGGTCTATTCACACGCTTCCTAATCAATTTAAAAGGACGGGAACGCTGAGTTTTAATTAGTAAAAAACCCTTACATCAGTAATATTCTTGTCGCCAAGGGTGCGATCTCCACTCGTGTCATACGGCGTCAAATAAAGACCTCCAGTCGCCTCGGCCAAATCAGAATAATCCTTATATCCCGGGTCATCGTAGATCCACGGATGGTTTGTTCCATCGGGCGCGAAGAGCAAGGGGTTGAGCTAGGATTTAGACGTTTTAAGTTTAAAAATGCAACTTTTAGGATCTCTTCAATTTATACCGTAATCCTCAGGCTGGTTGCCAATTGTAAAATGGTCTTCCGGTCATTATCGTCGGCGAAAATAGATGATTTTACGTTGGTGATGATGAAGATCTAGAAAAAACATGAGGTGACAGGTAATTTTCGGATTCTGCTGGCTTTTAACGGGCCTGGAAAAACACTACGAATTTTATACGCATTTTGCCGGCTCGCGCACATGCAATCTGCCTGCCGCGATACAATCGTAATCAAATACGGGATGAAAGACGGGCATGTGCGTTGCGTGTCGCGGTGCAACACATGCCATCGACATGCCTTTCCGGCACCTTTAAAGGGTCAACTGACCGGTGAGTGGGGCAGCGATCCGCGAATGGCATTCAGCAAGGCTGTAGCGGGGATGACGCTCTCTGGACATTCGTCATCATCTAAAATAAAATTTTATGCTTTCTTTAGTTAGGGCTAAAGCTCACCGACGGCACACCATTGATGCAGATACTTCGTCGCAGCTTGACACGCTGCTTTGTTGGCTAAAATTGGCAGATACTGTTTGAACTACAAAATCAACCAATTCTGAAGGTGGAGACTTCGGTATTCAGCAAGTTGAGCTCAGAAATTCCGTAGGGAGAATCGAATAAATTGCAGATGGCGTCCAGAATATTGTCATTCTCCAATTTCGCGTTCATCCCCTTGCTGAGGGTAAAATAGAACGAGGCGCTCCGCTTCGAGTTGGGAGGGGAAAACGTCTGGGTCGACGAGACGTCACCGCGGCAGGGTTCTAAACGCAAAATAAACTACATTTTAAGGGCGCGGGCAAGGCATGGATGGATGCTCTGGATACATGTTCTGTATGAATTTTGTCGTCCGCGGCACGCAACGCGCAGGCCGTATGTGCATAGCGTAATCGATTACCAGGGGATATGTCCAAAAAAGGGATGCAGAGAAAAAAATAGCGCAAAAATCAATAGAAATGTCTTGCGACTTTTTAAAGGGGTTATACAATCAAGAATCGCCCTTTTTCCGTGTCTAGGTTCAGTCCGTGTCAACAGCTACGCAGGACGTTGATTTTCAGCTATAAAACCAATTTTAGGCGTCATTTGGAGTATATAGTAATTGTCTAGATCTAGCTGATTGAAGTATTCGTTTTTCGGACTAGCTAATCCCTTTAAAATATTGACTCACGCGGTTCACAGTGTGTCCCCTGGAACCCTGGCGGGCAAACGCATCTCGTCTTGAAGTCGTTCAACTGTGCATTATGCCCTCCATTGATGCAGAGTCGATTCGCGCAATTGTCTCCGGTGAAATACGGTTGGCATTGGCAGAGTGTTCCATTTACGTAGACACCATCATTAAAACAGGTACGTTCTGAAAGTAGGAACTTTTACTGGGTTTTTGTTCATTTTTCTTAAAGGCACTCTTCCATCATTTTTTGCTGTAGAAAAGCTGTAGAAAAAACAAAAAGCTTCGGCCGCTATAGAAATGTAAATTTAGACTCAATCGAAGGAAAAAGAATTTAGTAAAACTTATTTTTTGAAAAAAGGGATGGGATTTAACATTAACACGCTCGCGAATTCAAATCCCGTTCAAAAATATTTTCGACTACATAAAAAACCAGCAAAAGACAGCTGTGGTTATAGCTTACAAAATACAATTATATTACAGCCGTTTCTCGGTTTAAATTTTGGTCCTGCCAAGCTATCTTCTTCGAGGTTTTACGCCCAGAAAAAAAAAGCCATAAATCGGTACTTTCCCCATTTCACGCTTTTTTGCCGTGAAAAAACGTGGAAAAAATTATTCGCGTCGCGGGATTAATCGCGTAATCGAATAAACTAACGGTGAACATTTCATAGGGAACAGGTTCATAATATTTTACTATTTTTAGACATTAACAACCTTGAAAAACAAAAAATTCTATCAAAAATTAAAAACTAATTTCCTAGCGTAATCGAGTCCAAAAACTGACCATACTCTTCAATCGGAATCTCCCGGAATGCCTCAGCTCCCAGTAGTAAAACCGGGATCCACAGCAAAAAACTGGCCCGCATTTGGGCGTTTTAAAGGGACGGTGACACCCCTTTAAGCCGAATCTCCGTTGTCAGTAAAATCAGAATAGTGACCTCCCGGGACCAGTTATCGCAAATCCGGCGGATCCGGTTGAATTTTTCGACAAAATTGGGGAGTGGCAAAAGAGTGTCGCCCGCTCCAGAATTCCCCCCTCCAAAATTCTTTATCTCCCTGTCTTCGGGAGAGTTGAAAATGGGTTCTTCTCTGTACGGCCACACCCATCCCCCCATCCCCTCCACTATCACTTCTTAATGGCCTTCCGGACACGGAGACAATTATCGATCCAATTCCAATATTTGGATGCGTCACGCCGGAAGGAAGCGGCACAATGACGCCGAGATTAGGGGTCCTGCAAAAAATTGTGGCTTTTTCGTAAAGATCGGGATGTTTAGAATTTAACTTCGTAATCGAATCAACCAGGGAAAGTGTAGCCTATCTTTAAGAGTGAGGAAACCCGCAAAAAGTTATGGGATTTGCGTGGATTACAGATTTCAATGAATTCAAGGTGTAATCGATTAAACCCCGCATACCTGGCGCCATCCCAGCGTAAAGGATTCCATGGCGTAATTTATTTCCAATCGGGAATAGAGATAGCTACACTGTCGATCGGATAAATGAAGCCCGCAGAAAATCCAGGATTGGCGTAAATTTCTGTTTGAAAGATTTCATTGTGCAGCTATTCACTTTCGATTGGTCCGCGTTCAAATAATGTTTCAAGTAAAATACCGGTGCCAAAAAATTCCATACTGCTCGGGGAAAAAAACAGATTTTTAGGAATTTCATGCTTTAAAGGGATACCCAATGTTTCGCCGGCAAATATATAGTTATGTATTCCGGGGCAGTACAAATGACGCGCTAATTGTGCAACAATGGGCCCCAAACGCAGAAGTCGGACCATTTTCCCTTGTGGCGTTCCCACCCCCAATGGCTTGCCACAGGCCGAAGGGAAAGCCTAGGCCTACAAAACGGGGGCCCGGGTTCGGCCCCCCCCCGGGGAGGGGTTTTGCCTGAGCCGACGAAAGGGTTGGGCCCTTTAACAGGAAGTATCTGTGCTTTAAGCGGCGAGCGGAATTGAGATTTTTTGGGAGCTTTGCGGTTTCTTGGCGTAGACCATAACATACGATGCTCGCAAGCTACTTCTTCTACTGCTCCACTCTTAGCTTCCTGTTTTGGTGATTTCCCGTCATCATCGGCAGGACGCAGCGTTTTCTTAGGATGGGGGCGATCGTGGATTCAGAAAAATTTTGCGTTGCGTTGCTCACCCTGCAGAAACAACCGAAAGAACGGTTTCAGAGATGCCATTTTGACGGGGAAAAGTTTTACTTTTCACGACGGGCAGGATCCGTCGCGGTTTGATGTATCATGCGACGCTTTTTCTGCATTGTGCTATGTCCAGCCCGTTTTTTCTTCAATTTTAAACCGTTTCAATGTCTATAAAGCTTCTAGGAACTGTTTTTGCGGGCTAATTCTGCAGTTCCTATTCCCATTTTCCGCTCCGATACTATTTGCAGATGAAGGGATGAGTGGAGGGGTAGTGGTAGGTGTGCATCAACAAAACTCCCAAACCTCACAAGTTCAATTAGGGGCCACCAGTTTTGATGGAAGAGGCGAGAGAGGGCGAGAGAGAGAGAGAGAGAGAGAGAGATAGAAAGCTACCCTAACTGGCATACAGCCAGTTCAAACAAACAGTTAAAACCGTTCCCTCGGCGACCCCAGTTGGTCAGCAGCTGGCCACAGGCGGTCTTTGTTGTCGTTGCGGGACCCCCCACCCGGTGGAATAGGATTATTTTGCCGTTTTTATGGACGATCCTCTCGACAGGGTGTTCATTTGCATTCCGGATCGTCCGGAAAATTCGGTAACCAACCGGAAACCTTTAAAAATTGTAGAATAGTGTTTTGACCTTTAAAAGAATCTGTTTTTAGACTTTTGACAACAATTTTTTGGATAGATTTATTGCATGGCAACTGGCTCGTTAATCGGCAATTCTTGAGGCTCGATATATAATCAATGGTTTTTTATTTCTGAGCAAAGGCCACGAGGTGGCGCTCCATTTCCGCTGAAATTTCACGAAATCGGTGTGACACTCACATGGGCGATAAAATCTGGTCTTGATCTTTTCGAGAAGAATGGGCCGATTTCGAGCAGTTCGGAGTTGAGACCAATCTACGGTCTTGTGCTAATATACGATTAAAAGAATTCAAATTTGTCGATGTCGGTAGGTAGTATCTTTGACATTTTTGAGCTCGTGCTTCCATAATCATTGTTGAAAATGCAACATTACCTAGCCTCTTTTAAAGATACTAGGAAAGGCAATATTCGACCCTTGCCATCGAGCAGGTCTAGACAGCTACACCGCAGTCCTAATGACACATTCAATCTGTTATTTCCAGCAGTAAGAGCGTTTTAATGTCGCAAAAATGGCGTTATTGGGAGCGTCGGGTACTTTTCTAGACCTAGTTGATGCCAGTCTCTTGAAGGCGCGAGGAAGCGCCAAAATCGACCTCTACCTCGACTAGGTCCAGACAGCTACGCAACACTACAAAAGCCTCTTTTAACCGGCTTTCACCGTCAAAATTAGTAATTTTGGCGTTATTTGGCATATAGCGTAATTGTTGAGATCTAGTGGGTAAAACTGGTCAAACTTCGGGCTGCCCAGTCCCTTTAAAAGGTCCTTATCGATTTCTAAGAGCTAGTTTCTTGGCTTCTGTCCTCCTCTCCCCAGGGGTTTACGTTCCAAGTTGGCATGATGGTGTGCAGCATTCATTTCCTGTTAGCAAAGGCGGCACAAGCACCCAACAGGCTTTTCGGGGGGTAGTGGATGATGGCGGTGGAAGCAGAGAAAGAGAGAGAGAGAGAGAGAGAGAGAGAGAGAAAGGAAGAGAAAGGGAGAGACTGTCATGTTGATGACGTCATCTCCACTGCGGTGTGCGCGATTCCCACCCTTCTCTCTCTATAGTGGAAAAGCACAGTCCCACACATCGAGAGAGAAATAGATACGATCGTCATTTCGACGGTTCGTACTTAATTTTTATTGTTCTTTTATTCAATATTTATGTTATATTTTTTACTTCTGTTTAAATAGCTTAAAATCTTGCACTTTTTTAGCCACGATCTATGCATTTTTTTCAATTTTGAAATTAGTTAAGTGGTTTAAAAAAATTAGGCGTTCTCTCTAGATAGCTCTCTCTCTCTCTCTCGCTCTCTATCTCCCTCTATCACTTTCTCATTTACTCTCTCTCCCTCTCTCTCGCTCTCTCTCTCTCTCTCTCTCGTTCTCTATCGCTTTCTCACTCACTTTCTCTCTCTCTCCCTCACTCTCTTTCTCCCTCTGCCATTTCCGGTAGCTGATCATCATCTTCTGTAGGTTCCAGTTTGAAACTCTCAAACACCCACTCCATCATCAGCCCTGGCTCGAAAAGACAATAAAAACTCTTTCTTTCCAACCAGTAGAGAGGTCATCTTTCCAGCACTCCGTTACTCATTTTACTCTCTTGACCTCAGCGTCCGAAAAACGGCCATTCTCCAAAAATTTCAAGTCTCAAAAATCATGGGTAAACCCCCGGAAAGTTGGAGACAAACATCAGTCACCTGTAGCTGTGCGTAGAGTGTAGCGGCACGTGTATTTTTAGAGATCTTTGGACCTTTAGATTTCCCTGGTAGAATGGCTGTTGGTTTCCCCTTGTAAATTGCCATGGAGTCAAATATAATTCTCCTGAATTTTGGATTCCTCAATTGTTTCTGCTAGCCTACCCAAACAACTACTTTTGAAGATCTTTTTCTAACCTTCAACTTCACTGGCTTCTTTTCCTTTGAAGTCTTTCGAAATAGACATCGTTTTAATCGTCGATCCCTTCCTGAATTATCTCTGCTAGCTGGCCTCACGAATTTTTGAATCTGCTTTTTTCCAATCTTTGGCCCTGAAGTGCCTCTAAGAATCTCTGCTAGTTACCCCAAATAATTTCATAGCAACGTTTTACTGCGAAATTCCAAAAGAATCTCCGCAAGTTTGCCCGGGAAAAATAAATCAATCGTTTTAATTTTTAATAAAGGGTGGATGGTTTCATATAAATTATCTGCTGTCACCACCCCTTTAAAATATATTTTTAACGCAAAAAACAATAGTTGTCTAATTCGACCGTCCGCTACATGAAGAATTTGAGAATTTACGATAAATTCTAATCAGCAGCTGGGCCGTCAGTGGGCTCTTTTCAACCCTTATCACCACCTTTCAGCTACTGACTCTTTAGAAAAAAGTAGCCACCGGGGAGTGACGCCGTAAACGGGATTAAAAGTTCCACTCAAAAACAGGAAATTTGGTAGAGAAAATCAGACGGGGGATCCGATAAAAATAAAGCGTAAAAATTATTGTCTTTTGAAAAGTTTTTAGCCCAATTTCGAGCAGTTTTAGGCAATCTGGCAGAGTTCCTTTAAGAATCTGACAAGGGCTAGCAAAGTTTATTAGATAGTTGCTGGGAAAACCAACCCAGCTCATTTTGGAACCTGAACGTAGGCTAGCAGAGATTCTTTAGGAAACTGGAGGCAAGACAGCAGTGATTATTTGGGAAGAGCGCGGCCAGCTAGCAGAGATGCTTTAGGCAGTGAGACAACGTGGCAAATATTTTTTAGGAATTTACAGGTAGCCTAGCAGAAATTATTTAGCAAATTTCGGCCAGCCAGGTGGGTAATTTACATAAGGCCAACTAGGAGCTCTTTTTTCCGATTTTTCGATTTTCGGGATGCTAGCAGGGATTCTTATGGATTTCACAGTTTTTCCTCTATTTTCCGACCTCAACGAGTCCATTTCCAGACCATAAATCGATCTCAAAATCCCCTCTCTGCTGCTGTTGCTGCTCATTTTGCGCGTCGACGTATCTGGCTGTCAGCCCAAATATAAACCGGTGCATCGATGGGGGAGGGGGATATGTCGTCACAATCCTGCTCTATCCATCTCTCTCCCGCTCTCTCTCTCGCTCTCTCTCT